TCTCTCTATCTTCAACCATCTGAACAAAGACATGGAAGACAAACAGAAGAAAAATTACAATTCAGGGATTATCTGGAAGAGAAAAGCAGCTAAAGTTCCCTGGAAAATTAGGAAAAGGGATGAGTTCACTATACAGTAAAGGTTCAGATGAAAGGGATATTGTGAAGAGACTAGTAGATACCATACACAGTAAGCAAATAATGTATACTGTATTTGTATTGATTGAGGGAATGCACTATAAACACTTATTGAAGCTGTAGTTCAAAAATAACAACACAGCATGTTTCACCTACAGAATGGTCAAAATTTAACCCAGGAGTCTCCAAGTAGAAAAAGGATCTAGGAGGAACTAAAAGCTCAACCAAAGAATGCCTAAGCGCCAAGAAACAGAATGTGGCTAACTGGATGGATGAGCTTGATTCCACACAAGAAGACAAGCCCATATATAGGTCAAGGGGGAGCTGGTAGGAGAAAAGTTATAATGGGGTGAGAAAGGAAATAATGGTTACGTTCTTCTTGGTTTAAGATTTGACAGAACACAAATTAATGAGATCCACCAAATTATATGCATTAGTATCACTGTGCACATGTCCATGTACCTATACAAATATATAAAATACAGGATTAAAGAGAAAGAAAAGCTTGGATCAAGATATAGTAGGTTCAGGGTTGACACGGTGAGAGCATTCCAGTGATGGGGGTTGGGGAGAATCAAGGAAGGGATCCCAGGCCGTTTGCCAAATGGGTTGTGGCTTAGGGGGAGGAGAGAGAAAAAGAGGCAGGTGTCAAGGAGAATGAATGGATAAGCACAAGGGTTATGTGCCTGAAGATTTGTTGGGTATAGAGGATGTCAGGGGGAGGGAGGAGGAATCAAATAGGGGGTCAAGGCTAATATTGTTGTGAACAGAACAATACAGGGCAGAAAGAGACATTTCTGGGGATGTGATGCCAGACAAAAAAAGCTAAAGTCTTCAGGGAGACCTGATGGGAAAGCGGGCCTTGAGTGATGGTAGGGGCTGCACAGAGGCAAGAGAATCATCATCCCTAAGGGATGGGTCCATGCAAGAAGGATGCTTGGGGGAGAAACTCTTAAGAGGGAACGATAGGGCAGGAAAAGCCCAGGAGGATGTGGGGTGGGACTGCTGGGGGGGGAGGAGGAGGAACCACACACACACCCCCGATGTGTCTGAAGGGGAGACCCATCCTTAAAGCCAGCGAGGGGGTCTTCCAACTCCGTGAAGAAGGGAGGTGAGAGTTCATGGGAAGCCCTTCCTGGACTCTCAAGAGGACAAGGAGGGGGGGCTATAAGGAAATGAATTTGGGGGGGAACCCATTCCAAAATGAATGACCCAAAGCAATGGGAAAGAGCAAGAAGTGAGGCTGAGGGTGGGGGGAGATTAAAATAGTCCTTACGTGTCGTATGGCTATAGAGGGGGGGAAACATACTGGGGGCCATTCGCCCCCCCAACTGACCCATTCCCACCCGGGAAAGCAGGTCCTTGGGAACACGTGTGTGGGGGTGGGGGTGGTGAAGGTGTCCCAACGTGTCCCCCCCTTTCCTGTGGGGGGGGGAAAGGAGGGAGGGGGATGACCCCCCTAGCCTCTTTCTTCCTTATTCCAACCCCCCCATCCATGGAAGAGAAGGAGGGGTCCGGTCCTATCCTTCCTCCTCCTCCTCTTCCTCCTCCTCACTCACCATTTGCGCACTTTCTCGATGGCCGCCATCACCCGCTTGATATCATCCTTGGCGCGGCTGCGGGTCTCGGCCCGCACCGACCGGCCCGACATGCTTGCTCCGGAGGAGGGAAGACCCGGAGGGAGAGACGGAGGGAGGGAGGGAAGGAAGGAGGGCAGGCAGGGAGAAGCCCCACTGAGGCGGGCGGGCGCTCTCCTCGGCCCGGCGAAGGCAAGGGCAGCAGCAGAGGAGGAGGAGGAGGAGTCTGGTCCGGCCCGGCCTGGCTCTCGGCAGCAGCGGCGGCGGCGGCCCCCGGACGCACAATGAAGCCCGGCTCCGCCTCGCCTCAGCCCGCCTCAGGAGCCGCTGAGGAGAACCGA